TAGAATAAATTTAACGACAGGTGAATAAGTTATTTATGCGCCTCTATATATCATAGTGTTGATCGTATAAACCACTGGGGCTTGTAGTGTAAACCGATACCGACTATTTAAAAGTGCATTCACACTAATAGTACTTTTGGCGGTCAGTGCACATGTTAGCTTGTACGGGGTTATTAATTTTAGGAGATAGTGGGTTGGCAAACGGGAGACAATTGTTGATATGTGCCTGGGTGTTGCATCATTTTGTTGATATACCATAATAAATTTTACACTTGATCAACCTAAACATTGTACAGTAATTCGATGACGAGTTATAAAATGTTTTAATGTTAAGTGTGTATAGATTATTCTAGCTCTCCTTTACGCATTGTCAAACTCGTTCACTTTCTTCCAGATAATTTGCACTGACATACCGTTATATTACATGGAGATAAAATCATCTAATATATGTAATTGTAAAAAAATTAGAATATATAAAGCTATATCTAATTTTTCATATATAAAAATATGTTGTTTTCATAATCTTATGGTTGATTCCTGAGTAAGTTGTAATATAGAAAGTGCACTTCTTTTGGAGGAAATAAAGATATTATTATTATTATTATTATTATTATTATTATTATTATTATTATTATTAGCTAAAAAACATAAACATTGATTTTTTTTTACATAGATCAGATGGGGCACTTAAAACGGAAAGATGTGTAAAAAATGAATTATAAAGTTTACTCAGAAATAAATTAAAATTGTATTTTTGTGCTATTCGTGGTCTATTTGAGTGAAAATCGTTGCAACTATTTTCAAAATTTGTGTATTTTTTCACAATTAGAATAATTATTCTGGAAAAACGGAGTAAGCGAATGAATTGTAATTTTGCACACATGTTATTTTTTTAGATCTCCATCAGATGGAACATAAACCTCGAAAAAATATTGTCAGTCCAGTCATGTGAAAAAACCCTCAGTGGAGTCCCTTTAATTAAAGGAAATATACAAACATATTTTAATGCTGGTATATTGCAAGTTTTCTTTTTCACAATTCAAATAACAATGTTTGAAGCAGCGGTATAGCTTTATACACTTTAATATATATTTGTATTTTTTTGTCCATTTGGGTATTGATTTGTTTAATATATGAGTAAAAATACTTTATATCAGAACAGAACAGAACAGAACAGAACAGAACATGAGTACATGTATATCAATCAGTTTATTGTTTCAATCATGCTTCTTATGAAGACTCCGTTGACTGTTTCGTGAACCCAACAAAGTTAAAATGTAGCATGTTCTTTCAAAAGCCTGATATTATCTAGATGTGACCATTGTCAAATTAAAGGGATTTTGTTATTGTTGTTGTTCTATTATTGTTATGACGTCCACATGTCGATAATAATAAAAAAACGCTAAAGAAGGTAGAAATTACCTCTCAACACGCTTAATATTTTAAATGGATTTGTTCATCTTTCAATCTGAACATTAAATGTTCTGACTAAATAGCAAACTATGATCATATGGCACGAGTGTGCGCCGGCTGCTCTAGGTTTCCACTGGTCGCACGGGTAGAATAGGTTGCTGCCAGTAAGCTAAGGGTTTGAGTTAGTTTAATCTATACATAAATATGCCTTTACAGGCATGAATATATTTTCTTTAAAATATGTTTGACTTTAAATAAATAGAGCAATGGCATAACATATTATCTCACAAGATTTACCATACTATACATAGAGGATATTGAAGGAGTGTAAGTTCAATACTGAATTTATTGAACGAGTTGTATAAAGTTATATTTTTCGAGCCTTTGGCGAGCATGATATTATTTTATTCAACGAGTTCAATAAATTCAGTATTGAACCTACACGAATATAATATTTCATTTATCACATACCCAAAATAAGAATGTTTTAAGTGAAAAAGAATGATTTTTCAACGACGCGCCTATATAGCGAGTCCTTACACTATACGTCTGTATAACGCAAATGACGTCACGTCAAAATATAAGCACGTCTGGCAATACCGTTTTTACGGAGTCGCAAAATCGGCACGGGTGTGTGATAAGGAATGTTATTAAACGATTTCAAGAAATTATAACAAGTATAAAGCTAGCCAATACCCACCATAGCTAACTTGATATTCTTTATGTCACGTGAATAAACGTATTGAACTTTACGAAAATAAAACTTGTTATGAATTTTGAACGCGCACTTTTATACGCCTCTATTATGTAGTATGCAAATTTGAAGAAATGCATTCACAAACAAGCAATTTTATGTGAATAAACCACAATCTGACCTCAATTTCTATCGGAATTTCGATTCATGAAAACATACGCACGTGATACAATCGTGTATGAAGGTTTGAAAGTGTTTTTTGTGTTGTTGTTGACATTATCAAAACTGGTAACGGTATAACTTATTTGAACTGTTGATCAGATAAGATTAAGTGTATTCTAAATGTATATAATGTATGCAAATTGATATTTGATGAAACTTTCGCTATAAAATGCAGTAAAATATTTTCAAAATTTATTTGTTATGGGTTATTAATACCTGAAAAAGCAGAATATATTTTACGCCAATCTACCTTTTAAAACGGTACACCTAGGCATTTTATATGCAAGAACCTCGCCCCCATCCCAACTCCCCACCCCCTCCAAAAAAGGGCATTCGGATGCTAATTCTTGTGTAATGTTAGGATAATGAAAGGAAAATCTTTTGTAATGCCCTTTAATATAATATGCAGAGATACACTTCATTGTAGTTGAATAGTAATACGTTTACCATGATAAAAAAGTAAATGTAAAAACAAAAGAAAGAAAAAAAGACAAGGAAAAAAAGAATACAATCAGAATCAAAGCGCTGAAAGCACTGAAGTATTCGCTGCTCAGCCTTACTGAAGCATAAAGGAATACGGGCCACTGAGTTACAGATTATCAATCCGATAGAGACATTTACACTGGTTGTTGAATATTATATTTGAGGAGGGAAGAAACGAACAATGAACTAAATGAGAACAACTTTATTAACTGTTAACACTACATTATCTAAATGGCACAATAAAATATTAATACAAAATATGAATGCATGTACATTCATGAGCATGTACATTCATGACTAGAGCATTGCATGAGAATGTAAAAATAAATATATATCCGGTAACAATACATTAAATATTGCTGCATAACGTTCAATTGTAATGAAAGACAGATTCTACCCTTCTTTAATGAAAGACAGATTCTACCCTTCGTAGCTAAAGCATTTCAGTTTTACATATGATAGAAAGAGAAACTTGGAACATATCAATTTCATGAAATTTTTGAAGACATTATAAGTATTTTTGTAAAATACATATATTTTAAGAAATCCTGTGATAAAAATGATTTATGTTTTAATATTTGGTGCTAATGTAATTTTATATTGAGTGTAACAGTCAAAAAAAACTTTTAATATAATGTTATTACGTTTTTTGCAACTAAACATTACAAATTGAATTGAAGCACCAGGTAATGGCATAAATAATGCAATACAAACAAAAAGGGAAAATTAGATAGAAAGATGGTTGAAAGGATTGATCTTCTTAGAGACAGTGAAGTTCTTATGCAATAGACCAAATTATTTTAAAGTGTTCTTGCAAGGAAACACTAGAAATGAAAAATTTTCAAATTGGACATGTAGTATAATATGACATGATTGAAATATGGATGACAAAATGGACAGGGAACCTTTTGTAACAGCTGAGCTATTGCTAATGTAAGCTAAACAAGAGCTGTCGGTAGGACAGCATGCTCGACTATTCTTAGTGCTTGATAGTAAAAAAAATGCCTGATACAGTTACCTCCTCCTGTTTACAGGTTGGGGTCATGATGGTGAACAAGTGTGCAAAGTTTCAAAGCCATATGTCAATGGACTTTGAAAATATTTGAACTATTACAAAAACTTTAACGTAAATTCTAAGTCGAAAAAGGGGCATAATTCTGTCAAAATGCTTGATAGAGTTACCTCCTCCTGTTTACAGGTTGGGGTCATGATGTTGAACAAGTGTGCAAAGTTTCAAAGCCATATGTCAATGGACTTTGAAAATATTTGAACTATTACAAAAACTTTAACGTAAATTCTAAGTCGAAAAAGGGGCATAATTCTGTCAAAATGCTTGATAGAGTTACCTCCTCCTGTTTACAGGTTGGGGTCATGATGTTGAACAAGTGTGCAAAGTTTCAAAGCCATATGTCAATGGACTTTGAAAATATTTGAACTATTACAAAAACTTTAACGTAAATTCTAAGTCGAAAAAGGGGCATAATTCTGTCAAAATGCTTAATAGAGTTACCTCCTGCTGTCTACAGGTTGGGGTCATGATGTTGAACAAGTGTGCAAAGTTTCAAAGCCATATGTCTATGGACTTTGAAAATATTTGAACTATTACAAAAACTTTAACGTAAATTCTAAGTCGAAAAAGGGGCATAATTCTGTCAAAATGCTTGATAGAGTTACCTCCTCCTGTCTACAGGTTGGGGTCATGATGGTGAACAAGTGTGCAAAGTTTCAAAGCCATATGTCAATGGACTTTGAAAATATTTGAACTATTACAAAAACTTTAACGTAAATTCTAAGTCGAAAAAGGGGCATAATTCTGTCAAAATGCTTGATAGAGTTACCTCCTCCTGTCTACAGGTTGGGGTCATGATGGTGAACAAGTGTGCAAAGTTTCAAAGCCATATGTCAATGGACTTTGAAAATATTTGAACTATTACAAAAACTTTAACGTAAATTCTAAGTCGAAAAAGGGGCATAATTCTGTCAAAATGCTTGATAGAGTTACCTCATTTTGTCTACAAATTGGGGGCATGATGGTTAACAAGTGTGCAAAGTTTAAAAGCCATATGGCAATAGGCTTTGTAAATATTTGAACTATTACAAAAACTTTAACATAAGTGGTTACGCCGACGCCGACGCTCGGGTGACTGCAATAGCTCTACTTATTCTTATCGAATAGTCAAGCTAAAAATATTGGGAATACTGATGTGGACAATGATTCAATAATAACCATATTTAAGAAAACACAGCTTTAAAATCATTAGCAATATTTTGGAAAACAAAGCTACCAGTGTATATTATTTATGCCTCTTGATAAGGATAGATATTATTTTTTGTCCTATTGCATTGCAGTTTTTTTCAAACTTTTGTGAAGTTTAACTTTGGTTAATGTGTATTAACTATAAAATGTACTATAGTATTGTCTAACTTGTCTAATTTCAATAATGCATTACATTAGGGAGGGGTTTAAGGTGTGGTTTGCAAAAAAAATTATTATTGGTTTGAAATGTGAAGAATGTAGGTACTGCAAAGTTTGAACTCAACACTTTGTATTCAAAACAATGCCAACACAAAAAAATTAATTAGGCCAGGTCAGGTGGAGACAATCAAATTTATTTCATAGATAATACATGTGGGGCAAGCTGAGACAAATGATTTCACAGTAACTTTTTGATATCCTTTTAACTTAAAGAAAACTGTCTGTTATGAAGTGCGGACTGTTTAAAACTTTATATTTAAGGAAAATGTCTGTTATAACTTGCTGACCGTTTCAACTTTATATTTTCTAGAGAAGGTAAGCAAAACATTACATGTATTTTTTTTCATTTTACAGGAATGAACTGATTTAACAATTCTTGATAGTAAGAATACAATGATGCCAGTTTTGGCTCAGAAACTCATTATAAATGGACCCTTCCACCTGTAGACATAAATTGATACACAGAAACATAAACAAGTGATCTGTTTGTCAAAGGAGCAAATCAATACGGATTTTAAATGATAGTTGTGACAAAATTGCAATTAAATCTAAAAACAATGCTACTGAGAAACTAACAAACTATATAATGATCAATACAATGATTTGAAATGATAGAAATACAAGCAAATGTAAAACAAACATATATATATACATGTAACACTATTGACCATAAGTAACAGTCAAGGCTAACAAATGTAACTAACAGTTATTATGCATATAAATATTTTTTTTTTAATGTTTCTTTGTAAATGTAAGCTACAATAACTTTCAGAAATCCAATATTTCTCTGTCAAAGAAATGCAGTGAAATGTTACCAGCATGTAAAGTTCTCACAAATTTTCTTATATATTTGGCAAATTTCAATAGATAAGTAATAAACACAAGCAAAATATTTTTCAATTGTTTACATTTTGTGCATTGATAACAGGATATAAATAAACATTATCTTGAGCCTGGTTATATCAGAAAGACCATTTTTAATAAAGGAATGTACAAGTTTGTTATGTATATATTAAGAGCCAAAATATATTTAAGCATTAAATTAAAAGTATTGTGAACATGGTACTTTGAAGGTATTATGCAATAGATTTCAACAATAATAATAGAACATGATATTTATTACAAAAATAAAGTTAAAGAAATAAAATTACATGTCTGTATGAAGTATGTTTTCTTGGCCTAGCTTAAAAATGTTTTCAAGAGTGTTCATATAGACATATAGGCAAAATTAAAGCTGTTCTTTAGAATTTCTGTAAACTTGGCATGTTATTGGAATATCATAGCAGAAACATTTTAAACAGAAAAAATTTGGAATTGCTGTACTTATTTTCGAGTTATCTGCACTGGAATAAGACTTTTTCATTAAATTCAAGGGCAGGTAATTTACAATGAAGGGAAAATTTTTTTCCTTATTTTCATGAAGCTTACCTTCGTTTAAGTCAATATGCAAAATTTCATGAATAAATTTAGAGTGTTTATTTTTTTTCCCTAATCTTTCCCTAACCTGTGCATTTTTTCTTAAAAATTGGCCTATTTTTTATGAATTTTTAAGTATTGAAAAAATTACAGAAACCATATGAGGAATTGCATGAAATTATGTATTGTATTAAACAATGAAAAGAAAAACATTATCCAAAGGTAAGAACAAGAATTCATTTACGTATGTATAAGTGATCTGTTCTTTAAATGACCTCAAATAATTAGAAAATTCAGATGTTTGTTTGTTCCATTTTACGTATCATATTTTACAACAAAATTATATGGAACAGATTTAATTTTGCCTATATGTCTGTATGAAAATTTCCCAAAACGTCTTTCAGGATAATGCATCCTTTTCTGGACAGGGAAAATACCAAAAGATGGTAACAATGACTATAGCACTTAATACATAAGTACTTAATATCAAGATATATAAATGAAAGAAACAAAAATCATCAACTGTACATTTTGATTGAAAATTATTACAGCAGGCACCAAAAACATGACAAACAAATGAAAAGTATGCAGTTCACATTAATATAAATATACAAGAGGGTCATGATGGCTCTGAAATGGCCACCTGTATACAGAACCACTGGCAAAGACAATTTTAACCCAAGGGCTTTTCAATATTTGAAAAAATTTGGTAGACACACATTAAAAGATGTTTCCGTTAATTGTCTAAGCTCCATCTCTTTGGGTTTTATATAAGATTATTTTTTAAGTTTTTACTATACACATATGGGGAAAACAATGACCCCTCCGAGTGGTTCAAACTTTGACCGAAGGGCTTTTATTTGCTCAAACTTGGTAGACTCCCACTAGAAGATTTTTCATGCTTAGTATCTAAACCTTAGCTCTTTGATTTTTTTTTTAAAGAAGTGTTTTTAATTTTGTACTATATACATAAAGGGGAAAATATTGACCATTGGGCGGGACCAATTTTAACACAAAGCCTCATTTGAACAAACTTTTAAGACACCAATTATGCTATATATTTTAGCTCTAACTCTGTTTTTTTTAATGTTTTTACAATATACGAATAAGAAAAATCAATGACCCCCTGGGGCAGGGCCAATTTTGACCCAAGGGCTTTTTTTTTATACAAACTTGGTAGACACAGAATAGTTGATGTTTTATGTCTAGTTGTTCTTTTGGTTCCCTATTACAAGATTTTTTAAGTTTTTCTTTTTTGCATGAAATTAAATTCCTTGAACAATTTTTAAAGTTGACTACCAAGGTAACATTCCTGTTAAGTTTGGATGAAATTGGGTTTGTGGTTTATGAGGAGATGTCATTTTATTGTAAAAGTTTACGGATGGACAGACCACAGACAAGAAGCAATTACAATAGCTCACCATGCACTTTGTGGCAGGTGAGCTGAAAAGTGATATGGCACTTTTGTACTGAGCAGTTTCAAAGTGTAGGGCACTGCCTAATATTGAAAACACTGTGGTTTAAAATAAAAAATTCTTAATCTTTTCATATAAATATGTACAAAGCAGGTGAACCCTTGGACAGCACCATACACATGGACATTATTTTGTGATAACTTTCAATTATTAGAAAGATTGTAGACACTGTTCCATGCCAAATGTCTTAGCTCTAAGCACATAGTTTAATAAACATTCTGTTGAATTTCTCTCTAAAGAAAAGCAATTCTCCTATGACCAAATAGGATTCATACAGCTTGCCCCGAGTTTTACATGGTAAGCAAAAATTGCAATTTATGTCAAATTGGTGTCCTTCTCTGTCAAATGCTGGCAAACTGTTCTAGCCTTGACTGTCAGAATTGCTTTGAGCACTTATTATGTTTGAACCAACACACACTACTTGTAGCTGGAATGATCCGTTTTCCATGACATTATCTGTTGTTTCTAGATTCAAAGCCATTAATAATACGTCAATGTTAATAAATAAAGAGGTTTCGTCCTCGAGGAAAAGTTCGGCCAGATTATCGTCAACGCAAATTCCTTCAACCATTACTGTTTTGTTCACTTCTGGAATTGTTTTTTCCTGAAGATAAAAGACCAAAGAACAAAGCTATAAGAATGAAATAAAAGCCCTAAAACTTACTTGTTTCTTAGCTGGAGTAATTATTTGTTTTCTTTTTACCCAATAAATCAAGTATCTATTTTAAACTGTATTGTTTTATTGTTGCATTATTTAATGAATGTTTTGCAAAATATACATTTCATTGGTTTTTGACTGTCATTTAAATCAACTCACTGTGACAGTGGATCTTGATGTTGTTTGCAAGGATGTTTGATTGTTATAGACATTAACAATGACATCTGTCACTTGTACGTAATTCCCTGGTCTGGTTTCCACAGCAGCCAGTTCCCTCCATAATGTTATTTTTGCCTTTTCAGTTTCGTCTTCAATCATGATTGATTTTATGGGCACTTCTTCTCCTCTAACTTTTACCATTCTGATCTCCTCCTCCTAAAATGTATATTTATAGAAATTACATTATTGTTTTAATGTTGTATATTTTGAAGTATATATTGTAACACAAATACAAGAATATGTAGAAAAAGTATATGTACATGTGCCACAGTATGTGAGATTTATTTCCTCTGTTTTTCTTCCATATATTAAATCTTCTTGAATAGACAAAAGAAGATGTTTCATTACATAATTTATAAGAAAACAAGGAAAGACAATATTGCAGACACTGAAGACAATTTTTTTTGCAATAATTAATAAAAACACACAAACCTTAAAGGTTTTTTTTTTCTTTTATCAAAGTAAACTTTAAAACATTAGTGTGAAAAAGTAAGAGATCTAATTTGTCCACAGTGAGTGGGTGACATGTTTTTATTTTGTATAAAAGATGTCTGATGATCATTTATGCAAATTTATTTCAAAATACCTTCATCCACAATATAAGCCGGACATGAACATGTACTTTTACTGGATCCATAAATAGAATACACACAACTTGTTTACTGTGACTTGAACTTAACTAAATGACATGATTTAATGTGTGGCTCATTTTCTGGATTAACACTTTATCCTTTTTTGACATTAACATGGCCAGGACATATAAAGGAAACGAGATGGTTTTGATAGTGCTTAAGGCATGATGATTCAAAGATGCTCTCTAGAGTTTAAGTAATCTTTTAAAAGTTAAGAGACATAATATGGGCATAAACAAGAAATATCATTTAAGGCAAATAAAGAAAAGAAAAGGGTAAAAAAATTGAGCCATGGACATCACATATTCAGACACATCAAAGTTATCTAATTACAAATCATATCAAAGATCAGTCAATAAACCTTATATTTATGTTTTGTAATTTATATTTATTTCTTCAATATTGTTGATCTTATTGTCTGGATAAGATAGCTGGACCAGCAAGGTGGCAACTTAATGCTCCTTTCACTACTTTGGTAGCATTAAAAATTGATCAGTTTTTTCTTTTATTTAGAAGTTCATATAACAAGATGGCCATGATGGCCCTGAGGTTGCTCACCTGTATATAGCCCCACCCTCCCGGGCCAATTTTTAACCCAGGGCTTTTATTTGAACAAACTTGGTAGACACTCACTAGAAGATGTTTCATGCCAAATATCTAAGCTCTAGCTCTTAGGGTTGTTTAAAAGAAGATATTTAAAGATTTTTCTTCCGGTTGCCATGGTAACCAGAGTTTTGCATGAAATTAAATTCTTTGAACAATTTTTAAAGGTGACCACCAAAGGAACATTCCTGTGAAGTTTGGATGAAATTGGCTCAGTGGTTTATGAGGAGACGTCATTTAAAGCAAAAGTTTACGGACGGACGACGGACAGACGAAAAGCGATCACAAAAGCTTAATCTGTCACTTTGTGACAGGTGAGCTAAAAATAAATAAAAATATAAAATAACTTAAGAGTCACGGTAAAAGTAGTGCAAAAGCTTATATAAATGTTTCATGCCAAGGACCTAAGCTTTAGCCCATAGAATGATGCCTTCAACAACCCTAAAGAAGGACCATACAATGGGAAATCTATTAAAGAATGTATCAATAACACTTCATACCTGAATTATTCTTCCCGACACAGACACCTTCTTCTTTGCTGGGGAAGCAAGGGCCTCTTTCACATTCGTTTCCTCAGCAGGTGGGGGGTTTATTAATTTTTCTCCAATACTTGTATGGCTGGCAGGGATTTCCAGTGGGCCGGATATGAAAACTTTAGAATTCTTCGTCACAACTATATAATCAATTCCTTCTTCTACTCTCTTTATAACCTCTCTAAGTACAACAGTATGTCCAACCTGCAATTTTATAATTTTAAAGATTGATATTTATAAGCATGACATATTTCTTTAAAAATTAAGAAAAGCATATTGAGAAAAGCTGTTTATTGATCTTGTCCTTTTTCCCATTAAAATATTTCATTTTTCAACAATAAAAAAAGTACCGATTGCTAAAACAGATTAATGGACGTTCCCGGTTTTTTGAAGCAGAACATTAAGCCACACCTTTTCCATTCATTGCTTGGTCACAAACATAACCATGTGTTCTTTTGTGCAAACCAAGTCAACTAGTGACTATGTATGATATCTATGTAGCAATTGGATAACAAAATAGCCAATTTACATAAAACTGTAAGCACTGGAAAGGGCCATTCTTCATTCCTTTGTTGCATTTAAAAGATCCAGTTTTAAGAATTTTTGAATGTCAATATGTATTATTGTGACTCCTATTCAAAGAACATTATGACTATTTTTAACATGGTGCATGAATAATTGTGAAGTTCAGAAATTTTAGGAGACTTAGTTACTGAAATGGCCTAGTTGCTAAGCCCTTGCATATAAGAATATATATCTTTCAAATTAAGTCTTTATCAGTGCAGAACTGAAGTTTTAATGCTTATGGCAAAATTTTATCGAATTCATACATGCTATGTTAGTAGAATCTGATTAAAGGATAACACTTTTATATAGTCAAGTGAGCTGGCTTTTTGTTACTTGCTTACCTTGAAATACTTAAACTTTGTTTGATCATAACAGGTCAGTTTCATAACTGAAGTGCCATCACTCATGGCGAGATTTAGACACTTTTTGTCTTGCCCATCTTTCCCAGTATATGACACTGGGTTTCCCATGGCCAATATTTTGCATTTCAAGGCCTTGCTGTAAGGACCAGAGTTCCTTGCTGTATTACTTGTCATCTGAAATAATATAAATGTACCATCAAGTTATAAGCAAAAATATTCGGGTATTATGTTTCAAAAGAAAAAAGTTTCTAGCATAACAAATGAATTTCTTTTCTTCATGCATAATATAACAACATTCTTTCCTCATATCAGATAATTCATTATTCATGCATAATTTGACAATTATGACTAGCTTTTGCACCATATGTAAACATTAATATGAAATTCATTATTGAGATTTCTATAAAAATTAAAAAACTTTTCAACTATGATATTAAGTAATTCATTTGATTTCCAACAGTGCTATTCTTATATTCCATGATTGATTTCCCAAGCTCAATTCCAAGATTTCATTTCTAAGCACAATACTTCATGACAAAATTTACGTTGTCAATTTATTTATTTTTTTCTATATATGAAATTCTTTTCGAAAATGTATGTAAAATTTTCAATTTTCACCATTAATTTTTACTTATAAAACATTAAAGTGAAAATGCCAGGAAGATTGGTTTGTGGTCGGAGTAATATGATTCCAACGTGCCAAAGTCAAAAATATCATTCTGGCACAAACTGGAATAGATATGATCGATACATGTTCCGTAATCAGTTGTTTCTTTTGTTTCCAAGTGATTTAACATGCATATTTCTTTGAAAAGTTTAGTTAAGTTTTCATGACCAGTCAACTCAAAGTTAAAGTCACCCATTAAAACTAACTTGCAGTTTTTTTTATCCAAAAGATAATTCACCAAATTAGCAGAAACAGCTGAAAGAAATTGGGTTAGGGATGACACTGTTGCTGATTTTGGTGGGCAATACACAAAGCCAATGACAACAGCATGGTTAATGCCTACCAGAGTGTATTCTATGCTAGATATTGTTTTGTTGCAAAGAAGTTCAATATCCAATGAACTCTTGTAAAATAAAACAAGTCCATGTGCTGCCTGTTCTTGGCTAGAAGCAATGACTTGAAAACCTTCCAACATGAATCTTTCATCTAAGGTATTCCAAACCCTAGTCTCAGATAATCCTATGATGTCAGCAGATGTAAGGTTTCTGTCTAGTTTCATGTCTTCAAAATGCCTATTTAAAGAGCGACAATTATGAAAGCAGACTTTCATTACACCTTGCGGAAATGTTTCTAAAGCAGGTATGTAAGATATATACTTGTTCTTCCTAAGTCTTTCCATTTCCTTTTCAACTTCCTTAGATACACATATCTTGTTTAAATTTAGCTCTGTTATGTGTATTTGTGAAAGGTTTGTAACCCTACTTAGACCAACATAGTGGATATGTTCAATTTTTCTTTTACCAAAATGAAGCACAGCTGCTTTCATAGTTGAACCTTGGGCTTTATGTATTGTCTTTGCTGCTGACATACATAAAGGGAACTGTCGACGAGTTATAAGGTAGGTTTTGAAGTAACGATATGTAAACCGCCGACTTGTTTCCAAAATAGGAGTCCATGCACTTGGTGTATTACTTGAAAACAAATGTTTGTATTGCAAGCGCCACTTCCTTCCTACTGAAACGTCTTCAAATTCAACCCACACAATGCTGCATCTTTTAGAACCAGGCACTCTGAAGTCAAATTTCTTAACTTGACATGACGCACCATTTGTCAAACCATCAGAAGTGTCAACATTGACACAAATTTCTGCAGGTAAATTCACACCAAGTGTAAGTTTTTTCTGAAGACCCATAGATAAGGTTGAATCATCCGGTATTCTGGATATTATAGTCTCTTGTAGCTCTCGACTTATACCACCAGATACATCGTCAATGGCCATAATCGAAACCAGATCAGAAGCCGTAGTCTTTTCAAGAACCAATTGATTATGTGCAGCACTGTCTTGTCTCCTACAAAATAAATGGGGCAATCCTTGAAAGGATGTGCTAGTCGTGTTCTCAATTTGCCGAGACCTCAACACTTTTAAGTCATTTTCAGTACATAGATTTTCCCGCAATCTGTTTAATAATTCCGCAAAAGACTGATCATCTTTCTGCCTCATTACAATTTTTAACTCAAAGAAATCAAAAAGATCAACCCACAAACTTGGACCTAGACAATTCATTTGAAGCGATGAATAACTTTGGGAAAAAATCCAAGAGTCCATAACAGGTTTCAATTGAAAAAGGTCTCCAACTGCAAGCACACTTACATTCCCAAAGGGACTTTGACAACCCATGATTTCCTGCAAACGTAAGTTAATGAAATTAAACATCCCACGACCAACCATTGAGATTTCATCTATTATAATCATTTTCAAGCTGTGGTAACGAGCACGCATACTGTTCAATTGTTGCATATCAAGTGGTTTAAATTGAAACCCTTGATTTGCAGGAATGCAAAATGCTGAATGGATTGTAAGACCACCAATATTGTGAGCAGCCTTTCCAGTTGGGGCACACATTAATAATTTAACTGCATCTGGAATTTCATTTCTTTTATGATTGAGGTACTTCATTAATCCTTGATATAAGCATCTAGTGACAACAGACTTACCAACACCTGCCCCTCCGGACAAGAATGTGTAAAAGGGTAATGACTGTTTCTTGATCTTTGATAGAATATGATAGAAAAACTGCTTTTGCTCATGATTTAAGCTCCTAACCTGTTGCAAGTAAGCATCATCACTAACCTCATTGAATGGCATAACTTCACTGCCCTGTGATCGCGGCTGGATCCCAATGTCTTCCCCAATATCATAATCAATGAAGCTGTTTGCTCTTTGACTTGCATCAAAACATTCTGTTACAAGAGATTCATTATTTCCATTATTGACATCAACAGCTTCCTGAAATTGAATCTCAGAGTTGATATTTATGACTGAATTGTAATTGTATTCCAGCACCTCTAGACTGTCATCGACAGAACAGTTTTCATACTGTTTTTCATTCAAAATTATTTCATCTCTTTTAGCGTTGTAACTCCCTTCATGTGTAGAAAAATATTGTAACAAGTCTTCTTCATTTCTCCAGGGACTGTATAACATTAATTTTTGACGAAAGAATTCTTCTTTGTCTTGTGTAATTGATGCTACATGTGTGTAAATAACTTTTTGGCGTTTCCTCTTCCTCACACAAGTCCCACATGGGAATCTTATTTTTTTTTCATAGTCAACGGAGCCACAAGGCTCTAAGTCATCATCTTTGTCATGCTCATATTCTGTCTCTGGTAAATCCTCTTCAATGTGAGCCACTTTTTCCTGCTTTCTGCCTGGACACAAATCATACCAAGCTGCAAAGTCTGCATAGCACAAATTCTCCATACACTTTGGACGTCTTTTGTACCTTTTTAATGTACTGTCCATTTCCACCTCTGTTGAAGACAGAGGCAAATCTTTCAAGTTATTTTGTGATTTTATAAGAGATGTCCTTTCATCTGGCTGTTTTGTGTCAACATAAATCACATTTCTTGTACATCGCCGTAATGGCATTTGTAGCACCAAGTAAACAGCTTCTTGGGCACCTATTTCTACACTAGATAGAAACTGATTACCAATCCTTCTAACACGCTGCCTAATATCTGATTCCTGTTGTTGAGCTTCATTACAAGCATCACGTAAAAGATTTGAAAGACCTCTTTGTCCTTTAGAAATATAAGAGACAATATATGAAACACAGGAATACGCATCCAACACATACTGTATATCCATATTAGCTTCCCAGCTTCTTATCAAAACTTTATTATAGTGATTGATTCTACTTTCAGAGACGGCACGCTTCAAGAACACTGTTGCTTTACTTAATGTAGAGCGTACAACAGTTATGTACAGGTTAAAGTCCATTCCTAATTTTTCAAGGAAATCTTGAAACGAAATGTCTGTATTTTCCTTATGTAAATCATTTAATGTAGTAATGACTTCATTAGACTTTTGCACTAAATCCGAGCTCTTTTCTATATCTGGTAATGGGTAAAGGATACATGTTTCTGGCATTGGAAACAACGGAAAGTTGAAACGACACACATTTTTTCCATTTTTCCTGCATGCACTGGCATGTCTATGTGTCTGATAATTTATCAATTCAGGTATACTTTCATCTTTCATGCACGATACATATTTATCAATAAACTCAACTACCTCAGAGTCAGCATTGGAGCCATGTAATGGAGCATTTTTAACCCAAGCAAGCATGTGAATGTGTGGAGAGCCTCGTTGCTGGAACTCTACACGATAAAAGAAATCTTTTATTTCACCAATAGGGTTAGACATGTGTTTCAACACATCACGTATAAAAGACTGTACTCTGAAATCAAAATATCTTGCACATGTTACAGGGTCATTCTTTATAAGTCTACATTTTTCAAGCCATGATAACTCCTGTGTGGCTTCCAAGGTAATGTCTTTTCGATCAACAAACTTTACTAAAGTTTTTAATAATGGCTTCCATTTAGTTTCAGCAGCAGAAAAAGAACAGAACCATGTAGGGAGTCCAATCTGTCGTATCATTGAAAAGAGATCCCTTTTTGCTTGCTCCCAGTATGGCGGTGAACCTCGCAATGTTCTCAGGACTCTATAACCATCATTTTGCATAGTCAGATTATCAACAAATTCTGGAGACAGCATTTTTTCTACAGTTAAAGTTTGACCCTTAAGCTTGCATTTCCTGACTGCAAGTGTTACTTTATCTTTTATTTGCTTGATCTGCAACTTTTTCAACTTGTAAAATATATTTGGAACACAGAGGGCCACTCGTCGATCTACATTGCGAAGCTCCCATTTGCAAATATCACTATAATGCAAAGGTACTTGTCGAATTAAGTTACTGACACGTGATTGTCCACAAAAAATTGTTGGAAAAGACAATATTTCAGAATATGTATCATAGAATAATGCAAGAGGTTTGTTGTTTTCCCCCGGTGCTACACAAACCACTTGATTGAATTCTCTAAAATCTAGTGACTGAAGGCATGTATCCATGTTACCTGTTGGACGGTCATTGAAATTTTCATCTTCTGTCCAAGTATCAATGTCAGCACTACAGTCTGTGGTTGGCTTATCTTGATCATCTTCTTTATTAAAGGCTTCTTGTGGTTGATCAAGCCAGGTCTCATTAACTACAATACCTTCACTTCTGAACAATGCACTATTACTAACAAGCCATTTTGCAGCATCAAAAACTTTATTAGGACGAATATTTTCGAACGCTACATGGTGTTTATAGGCAAGTTTGCGTTTAAGTTTCAACATTATAGTTTCATCTTCATTTAGCATCCTTGGTAAAGACTTTATAGTGTTTGAAACACTTGCTGGAACATTGACTACATTACCGCGCAAATTAAGCTGTCCACCTCTTGGCATTTCCCGTACTTGCATAAAGGGTAGTCTTGGTGAAACTAGTCTTTCCTCTAAATCAGTCAGTTGTAATTCATCCGGCTTAATTGGAAATCTAAGCCCATTATGAAGCCAAAATTTAGGAGTCTTCTCCTTTTTCAAAGATGTCCAACAGTTTAAACATATCCACTCTTCTGAATCTACACTCTTTATATTTGAGAGAAATTTTCGTCTTACTTCATTTGGCAAGGTATTAGCAGTTCTTACAGAGTGTTTGAAAAAGGTCTGAGTGCAAGAGGAACAAACAAAGTCTGGGCCTACTGAAACAAGCTTATGAAATTTTCTGATGACTTTGTTTTCTTCAGATGAAATAGATATGTCATCAATTACATCTACAAATGAACGGCTTTGCACTAAACTAGCAACATACTGCGGCATATCCATTTTGCATTCAAATGACCTTTTCCTTTTTGTATTACAAATTCTGAAATCAAACCTAGGATACAAAATTTCAACAGCATACTCAGCTTCCTTGTAATACTTTATCAAATTATACTGGTGTAAATCAAACTGAACATTACTTGGCTCTTTGCCAAGAGAAATCACTAAAGAACGAAAGTAGGCACACATGGCATCTATGGAATGTAGTACACCACAAATGGCAGTTCCATTAATATCCCATCTTCCATTAACATTTCTAGAATGGCCATCAAAGACAAAAAAAGATGTGCCATCACAATGAATGCCAACCGCAGTTCCATTAAAGATAAGGACAAGATATTTTGAGGGAACACAACTGTTCAGTAAAGCACACTCAAGAGTTTGCAAGAAAGGACCATTTTCCATATGAACAAGCCCAATTACACCAGAAATAACTCCCTTGTGTATAACACTTACCCGTTGTTTTTGATAATAAATTCTTTTGGGAATTTCTTCTGGATGAATGAAATCTGTTGTAATTGAATTTTTGTAATGTATCGCACAATATAAATAGCTTCCAGCATGAAGAATATCATTCAAGTCATTTTTGTTTAAAGATCTGACTGGTTTTATGAACTTAACTGTAATCAAGTACATCACACTGCATGGAACACATTGTCTGCCTCTTGCTTGAGCTGGCAAGCATTCAGCTCCTTGGTGATAAGCAGCAGAAGCAATTACAGAAAATGCCATGTTGTCACCTTAGTGCAGTAAATAGTAACCCCCTATTTAAAATAATAGGAGTTAACCGGTTACTACACTAAGGTGACTATGTTTCTTTTCGGCCACACTCAGCCAATCACAATTTTTATTTTCCTGTCACATTATTGAAAGTCATAATTTGGCAATACCAGTTGAATATCTAAGGTTTGCAGATGTATAATTTACATTGGACTCTCTAATGAACCAGGGAAGTTCAATGTAAGAAAACACACTTACTGTTCACTCTTGAATAATCACAAGCAATCTGTTGACTTTGAATAATCACAACCTTCCACAGGTGATATCAATATTGGCACTCAAACACTTGGAATTTCTTGCAAAATCTGAAGAAGAAAATGCCAGTAATAAAGGACAAGATATTTTTTAAGTAAGCTCAAGAGTTTGCAAGAATGGAGCATTTTCCATATGAACAAGGCCAATTACACCAGAAATAATTTCCTTGTGTATAACACTTACCTGTTGATTTTGATAATAAATTCTTTTGGGAATTTCTTCTGGATGAATGAAATCTGTTGTAATTGAATTTTTGTAATGTATCGCACAATATAAATAGCTTCCAGCATGAAGAATATCATTCAAGTCAATTTTGTTTAAAGATCTGACTGGTTTTATGAACTAACTGTAATCAAGTACATCACACTGCATGGAACACATTGTCTGCCTCTTGCTTGAGCTGGCAAGCATTCAGCTCCTTGGTGATAAGCAGCAGAAGCAATTACAGAAAATGCCATGTTGTCACCTTAGTGCAGTAAATAGTAACCCCCTATTTAAAATAATAGGAGTTAACCGGTTACTACACTAAGGTGA